CTTATATGACCGTATTGTGTTGCAAGTGCCGTAAAACTCTTACTAAAACAACAATTTTTCTCCTCTGTTTGTTCCTGGCCAGGCGGTCCTGGAGGAGTTTGAGGACAAGCTGAGCCAGGCACACACACGGGGGCTGGACCAGGAGGGCGCGGTGGGGCGGGCCGCGGGCAAGTCTGTGTGTGAGCGGCCCGTCGGGAGAGCAGGGGGCAGGAAAACTCCAGGTATGTTTCACACCTGCCTGCCAGTATGTTTGGGACGTTTGATGTACATTGACATAAGACATATTATTATATATATATATACTGAACATGCTGATAATAAACTACAAACATGCCATTTGTCTTAATTCTGTGCCTTGTTCTGTACACACAGTCCAGTATAACTGTCATAATTCTGTGCCATGTCCAGTACACATTCTCCAGTCTTATTGTCATGTTTTGTGGTATGTCCAGTACACATTCTCCAGTGTTATTGTCATGATTTGTGGTATGTCCAGTACACATTATCAAACATCTGTCTTCTATCCTTTTCTTTGTATGTTACTCTCTAGTAACACCGCTAATTTTTAGCACTTGTATGACCTTGTTGTGTTGCAAGTGCCGTAAAACTCTTACTAAAACTAAAACATCTATCTTCTGTATATCTCTCTTTCTTTTTCTTTTTCTGTTACTCCTTAGTAACACTTGTAATCTCCGGCACTTATACGACCTATTTGTGTTGCAAGTGCCGTAAAACTCTTGCTAAAACTAAGACTAAAACATTGTTACCAAAGCTAAAGACTGTCTCTTCTTGCACGCAGCTCGTAAGAAACCAAACTCCTCTAACAAAGAGAATGATGGCGTGGACTGTGACGAAGAAAACGCTGGAGGTAGAAAGACACGAGCGGCGCGGGGAGGGACAGGCAAGGGGACGAAACCCAAAGGGAAACAACAAAAGTTCACACTGGACTCGGATGATGACAACGACGACGATTTGTTTGATGTTGGCAATGACGGTGAGTGTGTGTGTGTATGTGTTTGTGTGAGCGTCCAGTGTGTGTGTGTGTGCGTGCGTGTGTGTATGTGTTTGTGTGAACGTCCAGTGTGTGTGCGTGTGTATATGTGTGTTATGTGTTTGTGTGAGCGACCAGCGTGTGTGTTGGGAGGGGGGATCTGCTGATGTATGTGTTTGTGTGAGCGTCCGGTGTATGTGTGTGTGCGTGTGTATATGTGTGTTTGTGTGAACGACCAGCGTGTGTGTTGGGAGGGGGGATCTGCTGATGTATGTGTTTGTGTGAGCGTCCGGTGTATGTGTGTGTGCGTGTGTATATGTGTGTTTGTGTGAACGACCAGCGTGTGTGTTGGGAGGGGGGATCTGCTGATGTACTGGGGATTTTGGTGGGGGATTTTTAAATCGTTATTTCGGTTATTTTCACGGAAATTTCTTTTCAAAACATTTTTGGCCAAAATAGAATGTTTTCCAAACTGAACCCACTTGTTTACAAACATGGGCAGATTTTGATGAGGAAATTTGTGAGCGGTATAACGCAGGGAAACTTGTCTATACGAAGCACCTGCTGTGTCACAGGAAACACACACGCTGACCACGAATATTGCACACAAGGTCAAGTCGTTTGAACTGCTCTTTAGAGTATGTATCTATAGAACTCCAAAGGTCTCGTAATTAAATTCCTGCATGTGGTTGAATGATGCGTCTTTTGTGCTATGTACATTTTGTCAGCTTTACTTCTCTTTTCATATTGAATTTTATTGAGAGTAATATATGATTTTACATTTTTTTAATGTATACCTGCATGTGTTTTTATAATTTTACGGTCCTGTACAGCCAAGAAAAATTTCCTTCTTAGATAATAAAGTATTATCTTATCTTATCTTATTATACTTGACCTTTGCTCTCTAAACACTTTCTCTAATCTCTAATCTCATCAGCTAACTGGTCCATTGTATGTTTCTCCGTCCAGGCTCCGACAATGACCTTGACCCTGTCATCACCCCGGCCAAGTCTCCGTCAAAGGGCAGATCACGGCGAGGCAAGGTGGCGCTCACGCCTCTCCAGTCTCCGTGAAATTGTCACACTCATATGTTGCCTCTCACATGTTCACTCTTTTTTTTTTCTCTTTCTTTCTTTCTC